CCCCCTCGCTCCTATTGCTAAGACTCTGGCGGAGGCCGCTTCCCACGTCATGGGCGGGGGGACGGGGGGTAGGAAGGGGGAAAGGCTTAACCCGAGTCCGTGGCGCCTCCTCCTGGCCCCGCTGGGGAACAGCCACGAGGGAGGGTGCAGAGGGTGGGGGGCAGACAGTGCCCCCGGGGGGCGGCCGCGCTCAGCTGCGGAAAGCATCTCGGAGGCGGAGCTGCGTTTGCAAGGAGACCCTGGCGCCGGCTGTGCTGGGCGCCGCGCACGGCCCGGTTCTTGCCTTCAAGGAGCTTGACGTCTATTCCGAGCACACGAGTCTGGTGCGTAAAACACAGAAAGCAAAGAAGCCAAATGTGACTGATGGCTAGATTGTACGCTATAGACTACACGCTTGCTTTTCTGACTGCTGGTGAAGGTTCGAGGAGTTTGGAATTTTTTATTGAGGTGGATCCTGTTAAAGACCTTAAGAAGAAAATGATGAGACCAGTGAATAATCCCTAGATGAAAATGCACTTCCTAGCATCTGCAAGCTCACCCTCTTTTAAAAGGCAAACATCCATCCATTTCTCTCCCTCTCAAACTGTTTTATATTTTTATTTTATTTTAAACTGTTTTTAATCTTAGCTTGTCACCATTTTAGTATTATTTCATCTTAATGTTAATATTCTTGTATATGCATCATGTTTATTCTCATTCATTGTGTGTTCAAAGATCTAGGATATTTCAGTGGTGGAGCGTTTTCATCTCAGTTACATTGTGAGCTTCTCACCAGCATTCCTGAGAAGCAGCTCTTCAAGCACACAAGGGACAAGGCTGTATGAAGTGGACGCACCTAGTCCTAACTTGGAACTTTAGTCTGCGTAGAAGACATCAGATGTGTTCTGTTGTCTTCTAGACTAGACAGTACTCACACTACTTCTGAACTACAATAATTCTTTCACAATTCCTGGTTCTTCTTAGGCTTACTCTTTAAATCTAGATATTTAAGACACACACAAACACATAAGCATTGCATGAAAACACAAACACCGTAATGGCATTGTTGTTTTTCTTTTTTTTTTTTTTTTTTTTTTTTTTTTGAGCTGGAGTCTCACTCTGTCGCCCAGACCGGAGTGCAGTGGCTGCTCCCGGCCACCGCAGCCTCGCCTGCTGGGCTCCAGCGATCCTTCCACCTCAGCCTTCCAAGTAGCCGGAATTACAGGCATGCGCTACCACGCCCGGCTGATTTTTGATTTATTGTAGAGATGAGGTCTCGCTGCCCAGGCGGGTCTCGAACCCGTGGGGTCAGGCAATCCACTCACCTCAGCCTCCCAAAGGCGTGAGATTAGAGTTCAAACTGATCTTCCCTCCCCTTGGAGAACCGCAGAAGCACCTCAGAGTTGCTGTACCCCCTTGGTATACAACAGCTAACCCAAACCCCTCTATATAGAGGCTTCCCATTGATAGAACACGGATTCCTGGAGGAGCAGAGAATGCAGAAAGGAAGGGCCCAGAGGAGCTTTCTTGAAACACTCTTTCCTGAACCTTCCGGGAATGGCCATTACCTTCAGAGTAATGATATCCAAGCTCTTAAGGACCTTGAGTAATTGACCTTTAATCTACTTTTTAAAGTTTTCTTCTTTTTTTAAAAAACTTCGTAGCCCATCTTCTCTTTCACCAAAATTACACTATTCTTTTTTGTTTTGTTTTCTTTCTTTCTTTCTTTCTCTCTCTCTCTCTCTCTCT